AATGGGAGATATATTAATTTTCTGTGCAGAAGTAATTATTAAGAACATTTTAGCCCTGGCTAGCATAGCTCAGTGGATTGAGTGCGGGCCTGTGAAACAAGGGGTCGCCAGTTCGATTCCCAGTCAGGGCACATGCCTGGGTTGCAGGCCGGGTCCCCAGTAGGGGGCATGTGAGAGGCAACCACACATTGATGTTTCTCTCCCTCTCTTTCTCCCTCCCTTCCCCTCTCTCTAAAAAGAAATAAATAAAATCTTTAAAAAAAAGAAATATTTTTAAAAAAAAGAACATTTTGAAAGTTAAATATATAGGGAAATAGCTTGAAACTGAGAATGCATTAGCGCCATAACTTGAAGAACATCATGCCAGCAGGGTTTATAAGAATGTAAATAATCGTGTAAAGCAGAATAAGAGAAATTAGATTACCTCATAATGCTAACTGTCATGGAGTTCTGCAGTGACTCGAACTTACAACATGGAACAAAACACTGAAGACATGTACCTAATTCATAGTTAAATTCATTCAGGTTTTGAGTCTTCATGGAGAACGTGTAAGTTTTGCACCAAAAAGTCCCCAAACTCACGTGTAAAACGTGAATGATAAGCAATCCTCCATCCATGTGGTACAGAACATAAAAACTGTGAATGAGTGGAGACAGTGCTAGCAAGGACAGAGGAGGGTTGAGCGATTCTGTTCGTCCAGCAGCTTCGGAAGGGAGCGCCCGCCAGCCTCGCAGCCGATCCCAGAAGAGTCAGGCACCACAGGCGGCCCGGGGCCCTCCCCCACGCTGCCATGTTAGCCCTGTAACATATACAACGATCGGGTTTTAAAAGTTCTAATGCTTGAATATTTAAAGTAAAAATTCAACGTGAAATTCTATTATGCCCTAGAAGTTTATTTTATGAAAACTATTAATCTTAGGTTAAATATCGGCTTTAACATTTGGCCAAACCGTGCATTCACTGAACTTCTAGTAGCTAAAACTCTATAAAACAGAAATGAAATGTAACATCTTTTTCTCTTTTTTTTTTTAAAGAGGGAGAGAAGCATGGATGTATGGGAGAAGCATCAATGTGTGGTTGCTTCTCATGCACCCCGCTACTGGGGACCTGGCCTGCAGCCCAGGCATGTGCCCTGACTGGGAATCGAACGGGTGACCCCCTTCGGTTTGCGGGCTGGTGCTCAATCCACTGAGCCACACCAGCCAGGGTTGAAATTTAACGTCTTAAAAGTTATAAAATTTAGTAGAGAATTACAGGACAGTAGTTACAGGGAAAAAAAGTCATTCAAATATGGGATAGGGAAGAACTTGAATAGCTCCAAGGTAGAAAGGCAAAGGGCGTGGGATCAGGGTGACCAGAAGCGGAGCCCAGATTGTTTGCCAGGCACCGTGGTAGGTACGGGGCGGGGGGACGAGTGGACATGACCCCTGGTGACAAGGTGGCGGGGACCCCTGCCCGAGGTGTCGGTAACCCCCGGCCTTGGGCTCAGCACCCCCGGAGCTTGCCTTGAGCCTACCAAAATACTGAGAACCTGAAAACTTGCACTGGCTACGTATGAAATACAAAAAAAAAACTCCCCCCAAGTGAAATGAATGTTTAAGTATCTACGAAATGTCACATCACATCAGCACTACTAGTTGATAGTTCACGAACACCTCGTCACGTTGCACAGATTTCAGGGCTGCAGGGAGATCGCCGACAAGGGCACAGACAGCCCGCATCAGCCTTCTGTGGACCGGCCACGTCGACGGCAAAATCGTCCAAGTCGCTTCCGGTATTTTCACGGAAAACCGTACAGTGAACTCGGGGATCCGTCTGATGTGGCGGGGAGGGGGCCCCGCCTGTAGGAGTCCTCAGACCTAAGGGGTTATTTATTTATTTATTTATTTATTTTAAATTAGCCTAATACAGTTCTTTTTTTAAAAAGATTTTATTTATTTATTTTTAGAGAGGGAAGGGAGGGAGAAAGAGAGAGAGAGAGAAACATCAATGTGTGGTTGCTAGGGGCCGTGGCCTGCAACCCAGGCATGTGCCCTGGCTGGGAATCGAACCTGCGACACTTTGGCTCCCAGCCCGCGCTCAATCCACTGAGCTACTCCAGCCAGGGCGGACCTAAGTGTTTAAAAGTAGTCCTGAGACACGCAAGAGACTTGTCCTGTCTCTCCGTCCACACACAAAAGCCCAGTCTTCGCGTGCTTCCGAACACGCTCGGAGGTGGCCCTGGCTGGTGTGGCCCTGGCTGGTGTGGCCTGGTGGACAGAGCGCCGGCCTGCGGACCAAAGACACGGGAAGGTGTACAGATGGGGAGGCAAGGTAGTCCCACACTGACAGGCAGCCACCATTAACATTTTGATTAAAAATACCAAAGATTTCCCTAAGCCTCAGTACCTATAAATAGATGTTCAACGGCTTTATTGAGATATCATTCACATGCCATTGACTTCACCCACTCAAAGTACACAATCCAGTGGTTTTCAGTATATTTGCAGAGTTGTGCGGCCTCGATCACAATCCGTTTTGGGGCATTTCATCAACTCGAAGGACCCAGGGCACCCATCGGCTCCCGCCCCGCCCCTCCCCCACCTCTCCTGTCCCGGCCTGGGCCACCACTAGGCTGCTTCCTGTCTGTGGATTTGCCCTTCCGGACAGATTGCACGTGGTCTTTCGTCTCTTTTTGCTGCTTCCACTAAGCATGATGTTTTCAAAATTCATCCGTGTTGTGGCGTGTGTCAGCGCCTCACCCCGTTCACGGTCAGTGTTCCACTGTGCGGTAGACCTTACTCCACTCATCTGCGCATCAGCTGCTCACCCGCTGTGGTTCCGGGCGGTCCCACGTGCTTTGGTACCTGTTGCCCCAGGGAGACGGTGTCTCTAGCCCACGCATCTTGCGTGGGCTCCAGCCACAGTGCTCCGACGTCCAGGGGCTCCAGAGCTGCTCTGGACCCTGTTTGCGAACCAGCGTCGCCGATGAAGGCTCGGATGATGACAGATCTCTGAACAGTTGCCCGACCAAACCGAGCCCAGGTGTCCTGCCCATGTTTGCTGTTGCTCCTCGCAAAGGCTGCCTTGGCACGTATTCAGCATGACCTCATTCTCTCTCTTTATGGCCTGAAATGATGAAATATCGAGAAAGAAGGAGTTACGTTTCGGGGCATGGGGTTTGGGAGACGTTGGGCTATGGGGACCTGATTACGTAAGGGGGTGACATAAGGAGGCTTATTCACCCAGCCCTGCCCTTGTTTGGACAGTGACTGGGCCACTCGCGATGTTTTTGAAGCGACTGGAAATAGAATCAGTCGCCCTTGGCCGCGATATCGAGACCACGCTTCCTGGGTTGGGAAAGAGAAAACTAAGGGGCGGCAAATGATTACCGGGCTGTTTTGATGAGGGTGAAGCTTTGGAACATTTGCAGGAATGAATGTATATTCCCAAGGCAGCGTCACAATTTCTGAAACCCTTTCTGTGAGCGACGGGAAATGCACAGCCACCCAGACCCGCCCTTGCGTTCCTCTGGGGCTTCAGCGGAGCGCTGGCCTCTGACACTGGGGGAGGGACCCGGACGGGCCCCAGGGTCCTGCTCTGGTGGCCCCTTGACCTGTACTCCAAATAGGTGAGGTGAGCACAAGCATTTCTTCTGGCATAACTGAATTACTCAGAAGTCAGGAAAAACCGATCCATCCGTTTGGTGTCTGTTCCACGTTCACTGCCGTGTGTCCAGCCAGGCACCGAGTGGGCCGCTCCAGGTGCAAAACAGGATCCGCACTTGCTTCCAGGGACGCGGAGAAACCCTGGAGTTAGAACAAACAGTCGGGAGGGAAAGCGGGGAGGAGAGAGCCACGCGCCGGTTGGAGCGTCTTCCTGCGTTGCAGGGAAGCGGCAGCATTAGAGGAGGATCGGGCAGGCCACAGGGGTGGCCGCATTGAGGTGCGCACGCAGATTGGGGATGAGGACCCCTGGCCGGAGGACACCGTCCTAGTCCCCGGGCAAGGTTAGGAAAAGGAGAGGAAGAGGAGCAGTCAAGGAAGAAGGATAAGACACGGCAACGACTCGCAGAGGGAAGAGCAGGAGCCTCGGGAGGCCGGGGGGCGGCCCCGGGCCGGGAGGAAGGGGAAGGTTAACTCGGGCCGTGCCTCACGGTTCCCCGAGCAGCACCCAAGAGGGGAGCCGGGCCGCGCATCTTCACACAGGGCCGGCCCGAGTCACCGAACTGGAGAGCACACAAGTCACTGCCCTAGAGACGGAGAGTTGAAGCCAGGTGAACGGCTCGGTGCACTGCGGGGTGAAAGTGCTCGAAGGACCCAGCTTTCCCCTCTCTCCTTCCTCCCCTCTTCCTCCCCTCCCCCTTCCCCTCTGCCCTCCTTCCCCCCTTTCCCAGCGAGATGGAGGCCACCCTGCAGGAGGCCGCAGAGCCGAGACCCAGCAAAGGGTCTGGGCAGGTGAGGGCAGAGCCTGCCGGGAGGGGCAGCGAGCAACACTGTCCCGTGAAGTGAAACTGGAAGCGAGAAGCGATGACAGAGGAGCAGCGGCTCACCGGTCACTGGAGGGCCACTCTGGGCGTCCACTCCAGGGGGCAGTGTCCCTGTCCCATTTGGGGTGTTCTGAGAGAATGGAGGGGCACTGAGGGCTGAATAAAAGGCCTCTTATGTAGTAGGAGCTGGATGGGGGGTTGCTAGGGAAAAAGGTGAGAGGTGAATATGACCGGGGTTGGGGGGGCAGGCCCGTGTCTCCCAGGAACTCTCTGGGGGCTGGGGGCTGGGGTGGGGCGGGGGCCGGGCAGCACGGCGGTGGGGCCAGGGCCCCAGGGCGGAGGGTCTGGGTGCCCAGGACGGCCTCGCACACACTGAGTCAGGGCCCCTGTTGATTCAGGGGGAGTCCGAGCCCTGGGTAAACTAGGAGTGGTGGTGACTGACCTGGGAGGTGGCAGGAGGGAGGGCCGAGGCCAGGACCTTTGGACAGGTCCGGTGCAGGGAGGAGGGAGAGCGGCCCGTGAGCCAGAGGCTGCTGGGCTCCCAGGCGGTGGAGTCACCCCGGGACAGTCCTGGAGGCTCGCCGTGGGGGCTGGGAGGGAAGGCCGCACCGGCCCAGAGGAGGCTATTGGCGACTCCAGTGGTTTCGGTTCCCGGATTTCAAGGGACGCAGGACTGGCCAGGGGAGGATGCGGTGTGGCACTCGTTAGCACTGAAATCACGGGAAACGCAAATCGAGTCTCAAACACAATTTTTCCTCCCCGAGCTGTGAAGCGGCACAGGTGAGCTGCCCCTGCCGTCCGTCCGTCACCTGCCCTAACCTGGGCACCTACCCCAGGCCTGACACCGGGTGATCGTGGCTGTCACTGGGGACCCAGAGATGGAAGAATCACGTGGGCTTCTGAGCATGACAGTCTTAGCTAATGTGACTTGTGTGTGTGTGGGGGGGTGGGATTAAGGAAAAGCTGGGGTCACTCCCTGGGTGTTTGTCTGTTTTGGCTCCGCCCTGGTAGAGGCGTGGGGAAGTGCAGATCATTTCATTCCAGCTCCCTTGCAGACTTTGGGAGGTCCGAGCTTGTAAAAGGAGGGAGGGGAGGAGGTACAAAGCTTTTTTTTTTTAGGCTGTGGAGGGAGATTAATTGGATTGTCCCTTTGGGGAGGGAGGGACAGTTTGGCAGAAAGCTTCTGTGTGCCCCTGGCACTGCAGGGCTCTGGGGGGTGTGACCGGGAGTGCAGAGAGGGCCCTTGCTGGGAAGGAGGGGGTTGCCCTTGACAGTGAGAGGGGCATGCGGGTCTCTCTGGAGTCGAGTCCTTGGAGGGTCCCTGAGAGCTGGGTCCCGCAGGGCCTGTGGCGAGGCTCAGCCCGCAAAGATGGGGAGCGGGAGGCCTGGGCTGCCTGGGACCAAAGACGGGGCCCCTGCTCTGTGTTCGGGCTTCTGGCACTGGCCGGCGCCCCCTAGTGGGCGGCTACCACTGGAACGCAAGTGCCCCGAGGTGGCCGAAGCTGCCCCACCCGGCCCCACGGGCGATCAAGGCGCCCAGTGCTGCCGCCCGAACTCACTCCCGCCCTGAAGCAGCTGCAGGAGCCACACACACACAGGTCCTGAGTTTTAACAGATTCGTCCTTGAACAGGGTCTAATCGATCTCTCTGACGTCGGCCACGCTTTATGCGCTTCTCTATTTCTGTTACGAAAAATCACACCCACGCAGAAATGGCCTGCTGCCCACTCGGGGATAATCTTGGGCCACTGCCGGGTCTTGGCTTCCTCCTCTGTTATCGCCGCTACGTAAACGTTCCAGCGAAGGCGGGCGTCGCTTCAAAAGCACACGGATCGTCGGTCCGCCGGGCGGACGTGCGTGTGCTCTCGTTCCCGCTGCTGAAACAAGAACCTGTTTCACACACTTTCCCGCAAGAGCCATCGGAGCGCTGAGCTGTCACCTCTGGGTCAAAGGAGCCGTGCGCGTTCCTCTCCTGTCCCCGAAGGCAGGGAAGGGACCCAGGGGCCGTGACTCTGTGCCTGACGCCAGAGAGGCTCTGTACACAGGAGGCCCCTGGGTGCCGGGGCCTCTGGGGCACCCTCCCTGTGACACCCTCCCTGCGGGTAGTGATTACGGGCTGGATGGCACGTAGGGAGGGAGGGAGGGACGTCACGGCTCTGCAGCCCTGTGACTGTCACCTTTGCACACACGAGTGGCTTTCCCTTCGTCCTCACGGTGGCCTAGCAGCACGCTCCGGTCCGAGAAGGATGGAGGAAGCAGGAAGCCATCTCATGCCTTTCTGGAGAAGGCAGAGAGGCGCCAGGAGCTTCTGCGGGGTTCCAGATTTGACCCCAAGGGCTGTGCCCTTTGGCCCTGTCCGCGCGGGGCTGCGGGCGGAGGGCTGTGGATGGCCGCCGTGAGCGGACTGTAACTCCCCACCCCGATTCCATCGTCACTGTTCACATCTGGGGTTCTCTCTTTCAAAGCTGTTTTTTTTGTTTGTTTGTTTTTTTTGGTGTTTTTTTTTTTTGACATTTGCCTCCTGGCAGAGCAGGGGCCAGCAAGGAGGAGGAGCAGGGAGGTGGACTTGGCTGAACACAAGGGGAGGATTTTCTTAGTCAGAGCGTCCGAAAATGGCCTGACTCAGAAGACAGCGTGTCCCCGGCCTGGAGGCCGGCCCGATGAGGTCCCTCCGGGGGAGCACTGCCCGGCGCTGCGACAGATGCGGGCGGAAAGCAGTGGTAGCCGCCCACTAGGGGGCGCCGGCCAGTGCCAGACACAGCTCTGAGCACTCAGCTGTGGGTTCGCCCGGCTCCTGCAGGAGGGGCGCTGCAAGGGCAGCTGGTTCCTTCATTTTACAGCTGGGGAAACTGAGGCACACAGAGCCTCCCCCCGTGAACCTTCCGAGCTGATGGGGCTGGTGAGTGAAAGCCAGGCAGTGTGGCCGCCGTCTGTGCAGCCACTGTGTCCTGTGACATGGATCCGATCACGAGGGGCCCCCGGGGTTCCACGCCCCGCCCAGGAGCAGCTGTCGTGGCTAACAGGAGCTTACGCGGCCGCCGACCCAGCGTGACTCGCGCTGTTAGAAGTCGGCGGGGCCGCCAGGTCCCTGACTCTGGCCACCACCCGTTGCCGAGGCAGCGGGGCTGGGTGTGCTCAGGACAGCGGGCAGGGGACGTGTGGGCGCCAGGGCCTGCGGCGCCAGCGTGGGCACGCGGTGTGCCCTGCCCGCCTGCTGCCCCGGGGTCTGCGAATGGTCTCCCGCCCTGTTCCTTCGCGCTCAGGTGCAGTTTCAGGAATCCACCCCAGACCCTCCCCGCTGAGGCCGCGTCCTCGCCTGGGTCCCCTGCCCCGGACACGGTGTCTCCGGTCACGGCTGAGGGGGCAGTGACAAGAAGGTGAGCCTTGGAACCTGGGCTTGGAGCCTGGGTCGCCCGCCCCCGGGACCGGTGGCTCACGCTTCTCACAGGTGCTGTTCACGGCAGCGGGTGGAAGACTGCGGTGCGGGCCCCAGCGCACCCGCTCTGCACAAGACTGACGTCTGCCTCTTCCCTCCCCGACTGGCCAAGGCCCAACCAGAGCGCAGCTCTGTGGCTGCTGGCCCGGAGGGCGCCGTGCACAGAAGACGCGTGTGCACCCTGTCCTTGGAACGATGCTCTCCTGCAGGAGTCAGGCCGCCACCCCGGGGCTGCGGCGGGGTGGCACTTGGACGTGCTCTGATCAGAAAACTTGGTCCTAGGACCTTCTGTTGGTAAAATGAGAAACGGCTAGGATATCCCTAAGACGCCTTCTAGCTGCAAAAGGTGGTGATCTGTGACCAAGGAAGGAGGGAAATGTGTGTGGCATAAAGGACAGACATTTTCTGTAACAGGCTAAGGGGCAGGACGGAGGAGCTTGGCCCCCCAACTCCACACCACGCCTTCCAAGTTCAAGCTCCTGCACGAGGTGCGTTCTGGTTTCCTTGGGCTCTTACCTCCCAAAGTCCCCCCGGGAGACAGGAACACACACCACGGGCACAGAGTCCCATCAGGCGAGGTGGCCTAGAGGCTGCCCCTCGTCACCATGCAGGCAGCGGGGGGCCGGGCCCTCTTAGGCACCGATGTGACATGACAGTTAGCTGCGTGTGAAGTGCCCCTCCAGCGCTGCCTCGCCACGGGTGGGCTTTCTTCGCAGGGATTCCACAACACGGGCTAAAAGGCTTCTTCGGACTTTGTGCCTGGGAAAACTGATGTCCCGGACGGACGGGTCGGTCACTCCTCCCGAATGTGTCAGTGGAGGTGGGCGTCTCGGTCCCGGGACTGGCTGGCCCTTCCCAGCCCGGCAAGCCTTGGGGGTCTCACCAGTCCCACCTTTGAAAAGAAGAGAGCTGCTTCTCGCTTTCCATCAAACACAGGTCCCAAATGGCTGCACCTGCCGAAAAGGAGAGCTTTCTGAGGGCTGAGACAGGAGGGTCTGCCTTTCCTCTTCGCTTCGAGTCCTCTTGGGCCTGCAGCCGGAGCCTCGTGGAGAGTGAAGGAGGAAATGCCTCGGGCACTAAGGTCACAGTCTTGGGCAACAGTTTGGACCAGAAGTCATAACGGCATGTGTGCGTTGCACCACGTTCAGCATCTGTTGTCGTGACACAATCTTTACAGGCTTTTGTTAATTTTCCCAGTGCTTATCCGTGCCTGCGTTCTTTCCCCACAGCTGTCTGGCCTTCTTCCTGGCCAGCCTTGGTCTGAAATGACAGCATTTCTGAAGCTCCAGCTGGTCTCTATCCCCAAATATGGATTTGCTCCCTGGTGCCCGGAGCATCGCTTTCAGAATACCGGGCTCTGGCATGTCACAAAGCAAAGAACTGTAGCACTTTGGTAATGCAGGGTAACTCATGCCCTGGCCGGGTGGCTCAGCTGGTTGGGGAATCGTCCTGTATGCCGAGAGGTTGCGGGTTCGATTCCTGGTCCGGGCACCTACGGGAGGCAACTGGTCAGTGTTTCTCTCTCACATTGATGTCTCTGTCTGTCTGTTCGTCTCTCGCTCTCTCCAAAATCAATAATAAAATATCCTCGGGTAATCCCTGGCTGGCGCAGCTCAGTGGATTGAGCGAGGGCTGTGAACTAGGCATCGCAGGTTCGATTCCCAGTCAGGGCACATGCCTGGGTTGCAGGCCACGGCTCCCAGCAACCGCACATTGATGTTTCTGTCTCTCTTTCTCTCTCTGTCTCTGTCTCTCTTTCTCTCTCCCTTCCCTCTCTAAAAATAAATAAAACCTTTAAAAAATATATCCTCGGGTAAGAACTTTTAAAACATGTAGGATAACTCAGCAAACTGGAGGGACAGCGGTCAGACACACAGTCAGCCTCCTGAGAACACCACCACAAACAGCCTTACGCGCAGGAAAGGCCGGTCACTGCGTGGGAGTCTCACGAGCAAGCCTTGCAGGCCCCCACGTGTCTGCTCACTTTCTGTCCTGGATTTCAAAACTCAGTGATACATTCCACACGGGGACAACACTGTTTTCTTAGACTCCGGGTTGCACTTTCGAGAAAAGCAAAAGCAACGTCAGGGGGTTTGGAATGTGAGTCTTCTCCTGGGTGGACATCGTCTGCCGGAGATTTGGGAAGAGAAGGAGGTCTCGGTCCTCAGCCGTGCGTCACCGTGCCCACCCTGGTTTGGACGGGCCCGGGGGCTTGTTGCAAGCCCAGCAGGGGCCTGCCCGGGGCAGCGGGGCGGCAGGGCTGCGGTGTCCTGAGGAAGTCCTCGCCGGGGGTTTCGGTGACACCCAGCTCGTGGAGCAGGATGGGCATTTCCTCTTCCGAGTGACTTTGGACAGAGGTCACGGTCTGGAAGAGGAGGCTTCAGCCACCAACCCGGAACTTTCTTCTACCTCGTCCACACTTGTTCCCACGGTCTTTTGTTCCTAGGGCGCCCGGGCCTCCTGCGGCCCCCGGTGGGCCCTATGGGGTCAGCATGGTGCCAGCTGTCCTAGGATCTGAAGCTAAGTTCAGCCTCCTGTTTTCCATCTATTTCCCCACACTGGAATTTCTGAAAGAGAGCAAAAACGAAGGCACGTCGTCGCAGAGAGGGTCTCGGCGATTTTATCTAGACCTGATCTGTCCATCGCCTTTCTGGCCCTGCCCTGGCCAGCAGCGGAGGGAATGTTGAGCGGCCTCGTCCTTTGCCGCCTGGGATCTGAGGTGCCACGAGATTCCTCCGACAGTGGGCCTGGGCCACGGAGCCTGGGGCGCCTCAGCCACAGAACCCTGGCCTGTCACCCCCCAGCACGGAGAACTACAGGACGTTTCTGTGGCCCGGAAATCGCAGGATCCCGTGTTAACTGCTGTGCTGAGCTTTCGGCAGCGGAGAACAGGCCTTTCCGTGTGCTCACGGAAACCGTGTTTTTAGAGAGAGAAAGGATCTTGAAAACCGTGGGGCGTGATCTCTTTTCACAGCGGGGCAGTCGGGCTTGGAGGGGCGGCACTGACACTGGCCTCGGGCTCTGGTGGCCCAGCCCAGGACTGTGGGGGCCCAGGGGGCTCACCCCACCACCCCACGCGGCCTCTGGAGGAGGGTGGGGACACCCGTTGTCCTCGGTCACACACCAAACCCCCAACTACAGGCGCCGGAAGGCCTGGGCCGGGCTAGCGACTCTAATGACACACTGGGGGCAGCGAGGGTCCTGGGTGTCTGCACTGTCGCCCGCCCAGAAGAAACCAGGGTCTGGCAGGAGGGAAGCGGCCAGTCCCCACCTCTGCGGTGTCCCCAGGGTGACAGAGGCTCCCGCCAGGCGGGGATGCAACTTGGGTGTCGGCCTTCCTCAGCCACAGCCTTCGGTCTGGCCCCTCACGACCCTCACCTTTCAGCAGCTGGAAGGTTCGGGGTGGACCCGGTCTCAGCTGGTGTCGGACAGAATTCCCAGGCCCTGGCCGGGTGGCTCGGTTGGTTGGAGCGTCACCCTGTACACCAAAAAGTTGCGGGTTCGATCCCTCGTCGGGTCATCCAGGAGGCAACTGATCGATGTTTCTCTTTCCCTTCCTGTCTCTCTAAAATCCGTAAATGTGTCCTCAGGTGACGATTAAAATAAAAGAATTCTGTTACAGTGTCTCAAAGCCGAGTTCACCCACAGAGGAGCATTTTCCCTCGAAAAGGGCTGAAGACTCTCTTCTGCGTTCGTCGGAGCCTTCCCCTCGGGAAACACCGAAGGCGGTGTCCTCTGATCTCCCCTTCTGTGCCTCCTGAGCCCCACGGGGACGCGGGGACCCCTCTCTGCCGGGCTCTGTCGGCGTGGGGCAATCGGTGCTGGCGGCACCGTGGGATTCAACCCCCGGAAGCCCCAGGAAGCGCTGTGATGGCGAGGCCCCGCCTGACAGCACCACCTGGCAACGACGGTGCCCTGGGGGGGGGGGGGGGCACCGGCACGCACCGGCACGGCTCCAGGCACTTCACAAACACAGGGAGGGATTTCTCCCTGACCCCAACCCCGAGAGGCAGGCGCCATGGTTGCTCCTGGTCTTCAGGGGCGCAGGGTGAGGCCCAGAGGGGTTAACACGTGGGCTCACAGCCAGCTGCCTGTGGGCCCCCACCCCACCGCCTCCCCTCCGGGGCCCAGCGGGGGGCCCAGGGGGAGCCGCCTCTGTGTCAGTTTGCCAAACAGCACTGAGTCACGAGCACAGTTTCAGTGAGAACGCACTCAGGAGATGTTGAGATACGCAGGCCGCAGGGCGGGGAGCCCCGGTGCCCCCCTGCCTCCCCCAGGCTCATCGAAAACCCACCCATCTGTGTTGGGAAGAAGCTGGGGGGGGGGGGCGGGGAGGGGCCCTGAGCAGGCGTGGCACTCTCTTGCCCCTGGCGGATATGAGGTTCTTCTTAGCAACCCTGTGAAATCTGAGTTTTCTCTCTACCAAGTGAGTGAATGTGCGTTTGGAAATAGAGGCTGGCGAGTGTCCCACAGGTCAGGGTGGCTTTGGGCTCTTGGTCTTGGAAAAGTAACTGCCGCCAGGCTGGCAGGAGGGGGCCCCTTGCAGGGGTGGATGCATGGGGGTGGGGGCTGTGGGGGACAGGAAGCCCAGCGCTGCGGCCTTGCAGGCTGGGGACGGGCTCCGGCTGGCCACGGCTCATTAGCCCCGCGGCCAGGCGCCCGGAGGTGGGTGGGGAGAGACAGGTGGCTGCCCTCTGGAACACCGGGAAACCGCCGCAAACCACGTGCTTCGTGTTCAGAGCCACTGGCCAAATTCTTGCCCTTGACATAATTTTCCAATTTTTTCTACCAGAAAAAGGCTTAATCTGGAGAAGGGGGTGGGCGGTGGAGGGGGGAATATGAAGGCTAGGAAGGAAGAGCCTAGCTAGACTGAAGCTCCCAGGATTCTGAACAGTGGAGAGGAATTTCACCCCAGGAAGGTGCTGCGAGGACAGGGACCCCTCGCCCACCGCCTTGTGCAGAGCGAGTACCCCAAGCCACATCCGGGGGCGGGGCGGGCCCCTCTGGACAGCCCGGAGTGCGTGTGAAGGCCCCCTTCTTCCAGCCTTAGGAACACTGTAGTGTGGTCACTCCACGGGTGTCCACGCCCAGCGACGCGGGGGACACGCTTTCCGCCCGCCCGCCCGCCCGGGCCCGGTCCGGCACCGGCCCCGGGCCGCCGGGAGAGCACTGAGTCATCGCCGCCTCGTCAGCCAAGACGTTTCTGGGAATGTGCAAGCGCTCCAGCGACAGGACATTCCTCAGCGTGTAGTCGGAAGGCCACTCCCCACTTCCTCTCCACTCACGTTGGTTGCATCATCTTTCCAAACAGGACCCAACAGATTTATTTGAAACTTTCGTGCCTTCGGGGGAGAGAGGCCGGGCGGCGCCGGGGCCCCACCCCTCTCCGCGGAGGGCGCCGGGCAGGCAGCGGGCAGTGCCCTCTTGCCTTTCGGGGGACAAGAGAGACACGCGTCCTGCCCTTTCTACGCCCCCTCCTCGCCCTGGAAAAGCGGCGCTGCGGCCGGCGGGACCCGCCCCCGTCCCAGGCGTGTGCAGGCGCCCCGGGGCTGCGAGGCCCTGAGAATCTCTGACCTTGTCTCAGGAGCAGAGTCGGGAAAGAGGGACGATCTCGCCAGCCTGTGGCCCCGGGGGCAGGCTTTTGCACGTCTACACCCCGCAGGACATTACTTATGAACAGTGCAGTTAGCGAACCAACGTGCAGGGTTTGCAGAGGGGGGCTGGGGGCTGGGGCAGGGGGTGCAGGGGCGAACAAAATGAGCGTCTGTTGTCTGGAAGGGCCGGTGTCCTGGTGGGGGCTGGGCCCTCCGCATCCTGCAGCGCCACCGGGTGCTCCCAGTACAGGGCTCGGGTCACCACCTGGGGAGGATTCGGGAGGACCGGCTTCGGCGGGGTGCTGGAGCTGGAGGTGGAGCTGGGCTGGGAGCCGGCGGGGACACGACGCAGGGTCAGTGGGTGGTGGGGCCGCACAGAGAGGGGTGGGGAGGAACAGAAGGGTAGACAGACGGGCGGCTGAAGCGGCGCCGGGAGAGGCAGAGGAAGCCGGTGGGCGGGGCGCAGGCGGAGGAGTGACCAGCTGACGTGCTCGGACGGCGCACGCTTTAGTTTGCAGGTGGTTGTGAGCCATCGAGAGTCAAGCTCCAGACGTGCCGTGGCCGCACGTTGAAATTTGGCCTGAGACTGATGCAGGGACCAGTTAGGACCGGTGTGGCTGTGCAGGGGGGCTGGGGCTGGGCTGGAAGCATGGCAAAGGCGGGAGTGTGCGGGATGGATGGTGGTGGTCACGGTGCCGGGCATGGCATGGAGCGCCTAGGCAAGCCATCTCACTTTATGCTAAACCCAGCCCCATCTTACAGATGGAGAAACTGAGGCTCAGAGAAGGGAGGCATGGGCCCATGGCCATGCAGGGTGTAGCAGCAGGCCTGGGGTTTCAGCCACACTGTACGGTAGAAAACAGAACGCCTGGAAACCAGTTAACGGTGGGAGGGGGAGGGAGGCATTCCAGTTGCCTGGATGCCTCTGAGGACAGATGACAGTGACTGAGGTGGGGACCAGCAGGCCGAGGTAGACAGGTAAGCTGCC